TGATATCATTGCCCATGAGCTGTTTTCAAGCAAACTCAGCTGCCATTCAGAGTTTAGTCTGAATTATATGACATGCAGCTGTCCCATTACCACTTCCATGCCTTTCTTCAAGATTTCCCACCAACAAGAAGGTAAATAGACTAAAATAAACCATATTGTTGGAATCAAATTAATCCCAATTTCAGAAGCTCTGATTAATAACTAAAACGTATAAAGCCAAATACAGGAATTCAAGAACTGCAAATATTAAAAAGGTAATAGCCCAAGAACTGAGGCTTAAAGAAAAACCTAAAGATTCATCCACATCTAAGCAAACACACAAATCTTCATAATCACAAAGACTAAAATCAATCAAAAGAACTTTACACTCATTATCAAAATAACAGTGCTAGCAGTGAAGCAGAACTGATTAGAATGAATGCATGTTTACTGTACTGATATCAGTATTCTTGCAAAATGCGTTAACAGCAGTAGTTGAGGTCACAAAATAGTATTCACCTTATCAAAAACAGGTATAATGTGCTTGTTTATGTAGTTGAGGAACTTGCTGCCAGATGCACCCCTCTGTGAAAAGATTTAGAGGTTAGAGGCAGCAAAGAATGTTCATATATCAGAAGAATATTAAATGGATGAAAAGAAGATATTCATTCATATAAAATGTAGTCCATAGTCCATACCACAAAAAACGGCAGAGCCATGAACAGGCATGATATCAACCTGTCAATATGATCTGCATCTGAAACCTGCATCCAAAAGCCATTTTAACAGTTACAAAGTAGATTCACAACAATGACAGTGCAATGGTAAGCATCAATAAGACAATGTCAACTAGTAAGACTTCTTTTAATATTTTATGGCACCCTACCCTTTCCAATGAATATCAACACTAATTTATGCAAAGAGGTCATTTGGTATATGTAACTCATCATAAAGAATCAAGTCATGCATTATATACAAAAGAGTCCAAACCAATATTCAACAAACAAGCACTCACATCAAATTGTGCATCTAAATCAGCCTGCCCTTCAATTATTCCAATAAGTTCCTTCAAGCGCTCAGGAGGAGCTTTCTCCCCAAATATGCTCAAACTTTTTAAGAAGTCCATAAACATTCTGAATTCGGCTCCAGTTACATCTCCTAAACTCTGCAAAGGAATTAAATAAAAGCAATTATGCATTTTCAACTCCAAATTCCAAACAACAAGTTCAAAACTGAGAGTTTGCACTTCTGAGGGAAGGAGGAAAGACTAGATACCATGACAAATGCCTAAATAGTAAAATCAAGATAATACCTTTTTAATCAAATCCGTTATATGCCTTTCCATTTCCTCCTGAGGTCTCAAGAGTTCAGCTTTAAGAGGAAAAACCTGCAAACATAGTTAATTTCTCCTCAATTATCATCAAAATATAAAGCATTAGAATAGAAAAAATGGGTAAAGCAAGAGGCAGTCTTAACCTTATCTCTTATAAAGCACAAGACCTTGTCACGAATAGTGTCATCTTGACTTGGGTCCTCAACACTCCCAATATGCTTGAATAGGGCTGTCAAGGACTCTGCATTCACAAGACAACCAAGCCATCAAGGGCTAAAACCAGAAAGAACCATTCCAGAAAATGAAAAGCTTGCATCATTGATTTGTGCCAAATTTACAAAAATATGACAGCATTAGGTGCATTGAAAGTGGTTTATTGCACCTATCAAGTTAGCCATTGCAATCTCACTTAGCATTTCATTAAGTAGATGCCCAAAGCTCTTGAC